CACGAGGTTCAGGGTTGGGATCATGTACTACTTGCACAGACGTTCCCCTAGCCAGAGGACTGGTATCAGCAGTGAACAAACCTGAAGGAGCCGCCTCTCAGCTCTGAGACTGGCCACACGCGCCCGCTGAATCCCTTCGGCGTTGCAAGATGAGACCTTCTTGCGTGCCATAGCCTCCCTTAAATCCAGATCCTTTCCCTGGGAGAGAGCTGAGGTATCACCCACCAGGTTCCCGGGGGACAAGTACAGTGTCTGCCCTGAGTCTGTACCCATGGGAAGAGGATCACACTGGATAACCCCTTGCTGGACTGAGATCAGGCTGTGGTCAGACAGGAACTGACTCCAACAGTGAACAAGGTTTTAAGAGAGCATGGCACTCGCAGCAGTGATGTTGAGCTTCCATGAGTCAAGAGCACATTGTGGAGGAAGGCTCATGCCTCGCAGCTCCTAGAATGCTCTCAGTCATGGAAAAACAGTGCAAAAGGAGCATGCACAGAAAAGAAAAGAGGGACAAAGTTTAACTTTGAAGGAGGGAGGAAGTGCTGGTCTGTTAAAGCATTACCCTGGAATCAAGTGTCGCTGGTGACAAACGGGAAAGTATAACAGTACACAGAAGGATGTCGCAACTCTATGAGACTAAAAAACTGTGTAGTGCCAAGACTAACTGTGCCAATATAAAAGTAAGTCATTAAACACATGGCTAGAAAGAACAGTCCAATTTTTTTTGTTACACTTTTCTCTGTCATCGATTGCAAGAGCCTTTTGCTACCTGTGTTGGCTCAACTCTGATACCCAGGTGAAAGGTGGATGTGTCACCCCTGGAGCTAGTCTTCTGTGAAGTTTGAGTGGCAAAACTGAGGGTCTTAAAAACTGCTTTATTCTAGTGACTTCATATTCCACAATTCCTGTGCTATGTGTCAGTATGTGCAGCTTGCTTCCCTGAGTTTCTTTAGACCAAAGCCATTACCTTAGCATCTCACTGTACTGACATGTAATGCACTTAACATGGTGGCAAAAGAACTGTCCCTTGTGTTTATCACAGTGGCTCTCCTAGTCGCTTCTGTTCAACTGTACATCTATTTCCAGCAGCCTTCCACCAGAAAATATGCATCTGGAGGGAATGTTTTCCTCTGAAATCAGGCAGGTAAGTGCCTCATTGCCTGGCTGCCGCTAGCCCGAAGCAGAAGAGCATGCTAGTTCACCAGGTGCAGTGGCATGCCTGCTCCTCTGCTCACCCTTCCTGTGCCCAGGAAGATGCTGTGTATTGAGAGGCCTTCATTTTTAATCTTCAGTTCAGTTCAAATGCATTTTTTTGCTATGACATTTTCTATTTTTTAAATTTCTAGTAGTTGCAGTATTCTCATTTGGAAAAGGTTTTCTGAATAGTGGGAAGAAGAACAGGCTGTCTGCCTTCAGCTACAGCAGACTCTCATTGTAGAGCTGAATCAGAAAAGACAGAAATGGGGGTGAATGCAAGCACCAGAGAGTTCTCTGCAAGAGTAATGCTGACTGAGGATTTCAATCACTGGGAACATTGATTTGCATCTGGTAACATTCACCTCTAAGTACTTCTCTACAGATGTTACTAGATACAGCATGCTCATTCAGGAGCCTTAAATATGAGCCTTTAAAAGGCTGCAACAGAGATTTCTGTGATAATTGACGTAATGTAGCTTCGAAGCCTTTTTCCCCCACCCTGTTTTTCTTACCAAATGAAATATGGACTGAGTCACATTAACCATAATCAGACATAAGTCTGCAGGAGGAAGCAGTAAATGCTCCCTTGTTTAGCAACAGCTAGGACAACAGCCAGCCCACAAAGGTGCCTACCCAGGCAGGGCTCAGCAGAAAAAGTTACAAGCGCAGGGCTGGAGTACTGCCCTGCAACGTTTCAAGACCCACTGCCAGGACGGGGGGGGGGGGGGGGGGCGGGCGCGGG